AAATGAAAATTACTTTGCATGTTAGATAGGCAACATACAAAAAGAAAAAAAGGCATGAGAAAAACATTACTTTACAAACCTTAAGACTCAAAAATAAAAATATTTGATATTTTGAATGTGAAAGCATTGTAACGTTTCCTGATGATGTACCAAATTTTATTACATTTGCTTGCTAATTTAAAAGTTATAGCATTAAAACTATAACAAGCACAAAATGGTTATAAGGTCGGTCCCAGGGACCGAACCTGCGCTGAAAGAGTTAAATACCCTGTAACCCTGTATTTCAAAGAAATTTCTGTCATCAAAATCATCTACATTTAACTATGTTTCAATTATTCTCATTATATCAAAATCCTCCATTTCTACCAGTGCTTTAAAGTCATCTGTTTTAGTTCTTATACTTCTAGCATTATAAAAGTAACAAGTTAGTCTATCCTTATAACTACTTCTATACTCATTTCCTGTGCTAAATTTTTCTCTGCCTCTTATTCTTTTTACGTTTAGTTTTTCCTGGCCCTCACCACTGTCTAGTCTTAGTTTAAAGCTTCTCTTATAGCTGAGTTAATAACCTTGGCAAACAAGCCAGCCTATTTAAATGTAAACCACCCATTCCAAAAAGCTTCTTCCTTCCACTGAACTGATCCCACAAGTCCAACCAGCCAATCTGTTCATCCTTACATAATATCCTAAGCCTGGCATTTAGCCCTAGTGACCTACTTATAACTTCATCCCCACAGTTAATTCTGGGAAGTATCCCTGACCAAATTAAGTTATTACCTCTTTCTTTAAATGCCTTTATCAACCCCTTGTACTTTTTAATTAGCTTGTCCAACCTATCTTTCACTACATCATTAGCCCCTACATGCATCACCAGAACTGCATCTCTACAAGCCCCCTTTATTATATCTCCTGCTGTGTCAGTTATATCCTCCACCTGTGCCCCTGGGTAGCATAATCTGATTTTTTTCTCCCTATTTACCCCACAGTCTATTCTATCCACATGCCTTGTCAAGGAATCACTTACACAGCGTGGTCACAAGTAAATAGACACCACCTTTTCAGAAAAAATGAAATTTTTCAGTCATATTCACATGAATTGATATATTTATAATTTAAATAATATCTAGTAGATCTTCCTTTCGCTTCATGGAGTTCGTTGATCCTTTGGGGCATCATGAGAATCATCTTGTCAATTTTAGATTGTGGGATTTTCGCCCACTCTTGCTTCAAAACTTGGAGTAGATCGCTCTTCGAAGTTGGTTGTTTCTTGACTTGCCGGTCGAGTATGGCCCAGAGATTTTCAATGGGGTTCATATTAAGAGATTGGCT